ACCCTCGAGCACCAGGGGGCGTCACTGTCCTCAGAATCAGCCCCACAAACGCTGATCTGACTCTGATGATGTGCTGCCGCTTTCCTTGCGATCAGGGCTTCTGTGAGCATCTTCATGTCCTGCTTTCATGGGTGTGTGTTTGCTCTGAAGCGTGTCCCATTTGTGTTTGGCCATCTCCTGTGACCGTCGTGTTGGATATGTTCTGTGTGTTCTGTGAATACACTCATGTTCATCATGTGCAGACTGTCCCTGCGTTAGATTATAGCTGCGTATGTATCAGAATCAGTATCATATTGTTTCTGGTTAGACATCAAGAATAAAAGCATAGAATAGAATAGTACAAACGGAACCAGGGAGTTGCAATAGATGTAATAGACGGAGTAACTCAAACACAGTGAATTACGCTCTGCTTGCAGCTTAGATCATGAGAAATCAGTGTTTCTTTGATCTGGAATAAATGAGTCTGATCATGAGAACATACAGTAGGTTTCAGAACTATAAACTTCCTCCTCATTCCAAAAACACATTCATTACAATTAAACTACTCAAATCACCTGTCCATAAAATTGCTGGGTTTCATGTCAGAACCAAGGCTCTTATTTCATGAATAGCATAAAAAAAAAAAAGTGACCTTTTTTTTTGGAATTTTTATTTTATTTTTTTTAACTACACTGTCGTCTTAGATTAGATTTTTTATTTGACTGTTTCTAGTTTTATTTTGTTTGTGGTATTTAAATAATTCTATTGTTCACTCCTTAACATAATTTAGCACCACACTTTTTTGCACCACAATAAAGTATAAATATATTTAATAGTATATCTAAGAGATTTGTTTGTCGCTTTCATCAACTTAACAGTATATCTTCCATCCTGCCTTCACATTTATGGAGCTCCTGTGCCATTATATTTGAGTTGACACGTACTCTGCTGCATGCTGGTTTATTATTTTGGTGACATCGTAGGATAAGTTGTGTCCCAAACAACATGTAGAAAAATGAACTGTGGTTAGTTGTTGTACATGTTAATCAGACGACCCCTTCTGTGGTCTAAAGCTGAGATATCAAAAATCAGACCATCCAGCTGACACTATTAAAAACCAAGTCATTTTAGCTTCAAAGTTTGTCATTTTCGCTTACATTTTGGCTCTTTTGCAAAGTCTTTTGTTATTACGAAGCTAATGAAATTTGTCTTCAAGCTATTTTCTGATGTTAAGCTTGCTCAGAAACCCAAATGCATCTGCACACTCCTAGCTGCTTTCACGTGGCAGCGATGCCTAATCATGTTGAAGTAATGAGGAGGAAGTCGGATAGATTCTGATTCCTAAACAGCAGAAAATTATAGTATTAGGCCTGCTAGTGTCCTAAAGTACTTGAGCTAAACTATCCAGCTTGTATGTAATGAACTGAAGAGTAAGATATGGGGAATGTCTGATGAACATCGAGGGCCCTCTAGGACTCCAGATGTGTGTTTGCAGTGGTTCTGGTCTGTGTAAGAGTGCCCTTCTGTGCACTGTTCTGCCCTCCTGCAGCACAAGCAGAGGTGTCCGGTTCTGGAGGACCAGCTGGTGGATCTGGTGGTGTACGCCATGGAGCGGTCCGAGACGGAGGAGCAGTTCGACGACGGCGGAACCAGTCAGCTCCTGTGGCAGCACCTCTCCAGCCAGCTCATCTTCTTCGTTCTGTTCCAGTTCGCTAGCTTCCCTCACATGGTGCTGTCGCTCCATCAGAAGGTGCAGCGGTGGGGGGGAATCGCTCACACTGGTCCATGTCCCAAATGGTGCATTCGTGCCCTTCACTTTAGCGGGATAAGCTAGTGCCGACCTGTGGGTCGCTAGTTCACTCACATGTGTTTGGGAGGCTTCAAGGAATAGTTAATCTAAAACTGTTATAAGATCAAAGCCATATGTCCAAGTTATGTTCCAAATTTGAAGTTGATATCACAAAAATGTAGGTTCCTGTGAAATTTTGTTTAGGCGCTGTACCAAAAATAGCCACTAAACCCCATTGAATTTTTTTGAACGCATTTTCCTGTCACACATTTATTCACAATATTACTTCTATCACAAAATAGTCACTAAATATTGGACCTTGAGAGACAGAGCATTTTAACAATATTTGTTTTGTCAAGATAAGAAAAAGTTTTGATCGTAAATATTGACGCCGCCCACTAGGGGGAGGATCCCGCCAAAAGGATTTAAAGTACATTCGTATGAAAACACAATGTCAGATTTCAAAATGGATTAAACGGGATGAATTTTGAGAGTTTAAACTTTCCTATGATATCTAATTTAGGATGATTACTAAAATATGTGATGGTTGGGGGAGGGAAGTGTGGCTGAGAGTTAATAGGTTAAACTGTTATTCAGTGATAATCTGTCCTCTCATTCTCTGCATATTCAAACTGGTTGTAATATACATTGGTGTTTGATGTTAAGAACATCAAATGTTGCCCGACGCAACTAGAAGTGCAGTTTTTAATAAGATTAGAAATCTCACTAAAGTACTAAAATAACTAAAACTAAAATAAATACAACTTAATAAAATCTATATATAGACATTCAAAAAAAAAAAAAAACGAATAAAAGCAAAAACAAAAAAATACTAAAACTAACTAAAATGAAAATAAAATCTAGTTCAAGACATGTATAGTTTCTGAAGACATATTTGCATATAATATAACACATGAGTCAGAAAAACTGCTTGTGTAATGTTTGCGTGGTGCTTTTGGCCTTTGTGGCGCTCGAGCTCCTGGTTATGAAATACTTCTAAACATCTTTTGTGTTCCTCTGCAGAAAGACAGGTTTGTTCAGATTTTCATGAGGTTGATTAAATGTCCATATTTGGGTTAACTGAAGTAGTGATGTAACTACGTAATTAATTTTTATAGATTGCCCCGGTGTTTTTTGCATTTAGGTGTCAGAACGTGTGCACTTTGCCAGGATGTGTCTCTGACATGCATTGAGTTAGAGAAAGAAGTGTATATTAAATTCCCTTTTCACACCATCCTCATCTCCATCAGTGAATTTCCCATCCGTTGGGAGGATTATAGATCTCATGTACTGCTGTGACCACCAGTGCAGGCTTTGCTAAAGGGCTCATCGAACCGTAAAATGACTAATGGGTCACCTTTTGATTTCATTGAGAAGTGCAGACCCAAAAACTGACTGAATCTCCACACGGAGTGCACCATTTGGGACGTAGCCACACACCCACACTTGCATGTGAATTACACTTCTGCTTCTTTCCGATCACCTGGGAAAGGGCTTCTAGCCTGTGTTTCATTGTCTTTACGCTTCTCCCTCTTGTGAACAGCTGGCCGGTCGGGGTTTGATCAAAGGCAGGGATCACCTGATGTGGGTGCTCCTGCAGTTCATCTCGGGAAGCATTCAGAAGAACGCTCTGGCTGACTTCCTGCCCGTCATGAAGCTGTTTGACCTGCTGTACCCCGAGAAAGAGGCGAGTGACTGCTTTCATTGCTTTCATTTAAGTGGGACACGGCGGCCTGTGAAAGCTTCATGAATTCATAATGTGACACTCTAAACATGCTGTTGATGAAGGTCATCTGAACAAAGCTTCATTTAGTGCTAGCAGACCCTGCTAACCTCTTTTGTTCAGCCGCTCATTAGTAATCATTTAGCAGAGTCTTGGACTTGCAGTGCACTTCAGTGCCTCACTCTAGGACACAGTGGTGACTCTAATAAAAACTTGCTTTTATAAAACAGATAGTTCCGGTCCTTGATTCTGATTGGCTGAGCCGCGTTCGAAGCTGTTGTAAATTACTCTACAAAGTAACATACACCTTTGTTTACGTTTGTCTGTTGCTTGGCAACCACTTTGTTGCAACCACAACTGATTCTGAGGAGCTACATTGTTTGGTGGAAGAATACTGTTTTTATTAATATCATTACACTTTATTTTATTCTGTTAAACCTAACTACGTATATGGAATAACCGTTTTATAAAAGCAATAAGCCCCGTGAAGCCGTGGTTTACAGTGATTTTATAACAGCTAAGGGGGTTTTAGGCACTCCACTTCACATCGTGCCTAACAACGCCTCTTAGCTGTTATAAATACGCTGTAAACCACGGCTTCTTGGGGCTTATTGCTTTATCAAGTAAGTCGCTTTGGATAAAAGCGTCTAATAAATGACTAAATAAATAAATAAATACAATCAAGACATATCTATTAAAAAATGCATTAAATAATTAAGACAAGAGGTTAAGAAAAAAATTAAATGAATATGTAATTAATGCATATATTTATCAAAATGCTCCTTTCTAGTTTTTTTTTTTCCCTAGCCAACTATTGAGTTTATGGTCATTGAATGTCATTCCTAAGGTAAATGGGATGTTACGTGACTTTATTGTTTGCAAGTTGTTTTATTGACATCTTTCCGCGGTTGAAACACTGATTGATCGATTACATGAGATGTGATAGATTTCAGTAAGTTGCTCTGTTTCTGATGTTCATTCATGTTTATTTGCTGCTGTAACTAGTAGTAAAGAGGAAGAGATGATCGATTCACATGCTGCTTGAACTGATGCAGATACAGTGATCTGTCACAGCACATTAAAGAGCGGCAAACCACATATCATATAAGCTTATTTTGATTATACAACAGCTTCGAACGTGGCTCAGCCAATCAGAATCAAGGACCAGAACTATCTGTTTTATAATGATATTTTGATCATGTGTCAACTGAAAACTGCATAGACTAAAAGATGTCGGTTCATCAACATGGAGATCGATAGGAGAAATTGTTATTGTCATTGTCAAATTCATTTTCGGCCAAATGGTTAGAGATTCTGTGTTTGTCTTGTTGTCTGATCTACATAATTCCTCTCGTAAATCAGGCACTTAATCAGTGCAGGCAAATAAACGGCGCTTTCCACAGATTCAGTTAATTCTTATTAAATTCCCCCCTGAATGATTTAAAGGCACAATATGTAAGATTTTTTTATTAAAATATCCAAAAACCACTAGAACAGTGTTATATATTT